GGCAGTCAATTTTAACAACAGTCGCAAGTCTAATGGCTTTGAAAGTGTTTGAAACATTTAATTTATTTTAAAGTTTAAATGGCTCTTTGAAATAGATTAGAAATGCCTAATTTCTCTCTTAAATTAAAGTAGCATGGATTACATGTTTAACTGCTTTTGAAAATGTTGAACACTTAACTTCTCACAATTATTTTAAACATTTAACTTGCATTCTGCAGACAGTTTGTCCCTTTCAAACTTGTAGGCGTATATACCTGCAGTGACAAAATTCTGCAGCTCTTAAATTCATTTTGTACATAACAGGAGGATCATTGAGTACATGCAGCTTGACAAAAAAGTGCATGACTGCATGCATGCCCAAATGAAAAAAAGGGGGAAACAAAATACTATAACAAACTACTTACAAAACATATGTTTTGAAAGTGTTTTGATAGTATAGCAAATCACATGCAAATGAGCTAACAAAACACTATAACAAGTTACTTTGAAAACACTCTAACAAACTACTAACAAAACGCTTTAACAAAATACTTACGAAACACTCTAACAAACTACTAACAAAACACTGTGTTTTGATAGTATTCCATTAGTATAGAAAATCACATGCAAATGAGGCTAACAAAACACTCTAACAAAATACTAACAAAGCATAAGTAACAAATCATCAATAAACCACTAAATTTGAATTTTTAAAATTATAATTAGCAAATTCACAAGTCTTTGAAAACATCTAAACACAGTCTCATATTGAAACATTACATGTATAAACATCTTGTTTCACAGTATTTTGAATTCCAGGTTTGACATTATTGTTCAATAGACAATAGCACACCATTCCAACATTAAAAAACACCAAGTTCGATTCATGATCACTCTCTTATATCAATCATTCTCTGCAGTGAAATCCTTTGGTGTAAGAGATATAATTCTCAATCCATTGACCATTTCTCCATTCACATACATTTTCACAGAATTTTCAAGTATAATTATAATTCATTTAACCCAGTGCTTAAAACTGATCTAAGCTGGGTAGTATATGGATTAAAGGTCGATCAATCTTAAAATGAACAAAAACCCAATAAAAACAGGCCATATACACATCCACATTCACAGATTGAAGGTTTAACTGTAGTCCAGTTTAAAAGAACTTTATGTCATGCAATAAATAAATACCTTTGTTATATCCAGATTCATCCTGATTTTGCTTTTTCCAATCAGGGATCAATATATATACTAACACTTTACATGTCCCTTCACCAATCTCTTTGTTTCTCTCTGACCTAGTGCTGGTGGTTTGAAAATTGGCGCAAAACTAGTAACACAGGATATAAATAGATAAGTTGTTCTTGGAAGATTTTACTGCTCTTAGATAAGTCAACCCTTAACATGTCTGTTAATCAAATGAAATGCTAACAAAATATTAATTTGATGCAGACAAGTATAATGAAACACTTTCAAAATGCAATTTCATTCTGCAGAGTGTAATGAAACATTAATAAAACACCAACATTGTAATGAAACTAACAAAATACCATGCCACCCCATCCTGTAAAGTATAGCATTGATGTTTCGTTAAATGCAACACTTTCAAAACATACTAAGAAAATATAAAAGTATGATTTGGTAGTGTTTTGAAGATATTTTGAAAGTATTTTGTTAGATTTCTTTTTCATTTGGGTGGTTCTATAAGGACAGCATGCTATCTCTTATCCATTTGATATCTTGATGACCCCTTTTGTGCTTGCTGGTTTATCTGCAACTATAATTTCAACTGCCTAAAAGTAAAACTTATTTTGATAAATTTTAACATCTTCACGCCAGTGGCAAACTTATTTTTTTTTATTTGTATAAAGTCATAACTTTTATGACAAATTAAAATAATTTTACTAAGTTTGTTAAATCTATAGCTATAAAACTGAGCCAATTTAAGGGGGAAAAACTTTAAAGTTCAATTTTTCTTCTTAAGCTACAGCTGGGCTTGACCCTTGAGTTGGGGATTAGGAGAGTCAATCCCCTTGCAGTGCTGTTCTATAATGGTGTACAGTATACTGACTGGTCAGAACATTATACACACACAGGAAGGGCCCAGTGTTATGGACTGCTATTGTGTGTGTTTTATAGGCTATAGGGACCAGCTGAGCTTACAATCCACAGAGTATAATCCCAGGCCAAGGTCAAATTACTGTACACCAAAAAAATCACAGCCCATACCAAAAGGTATATAGCCCTGACAGATAGCATTACACGGTACCAAAAAAAGTCACTGAATACCAAAAATATAACTATAAGAAGGTACAAACTGTATATATGTATATTTATGTGTAAGACTTAGTGTGTCACAGAGTACAGGTGGGTATGAATTTTAAAGACTTAAAATCACTTGACATCAAAAATAAGCAAGACTTAATTAGGATATAATTTTGAAAGCTTCATAAAATCAACCAGAAATTGAATATGCTTGCAATGAAAGCCAACAGAGAGAAAGAGAGAAAGAAGGAGGGAGAGAGAGAGAGAAATGGGGGAATGAGAACTAGACTATTGAACTTTTGAAGTTTATCTAAGTGTAGTTAAGAGAGAGAGGTCTGAATTTGCAGTACCAATTTGAAACTTTTGCTTGGAGTAAGAAGCATATAGCTCCACCATTGGGAGACAGTTGTGTAATTGACAGTTTTAGCCCTATAGTCTAGGACAATGTTTCAGACCACTTCAGAGGGTAATTCAAATTTTAATGACAGTTTTATTATGCAAATTTAAAGCTGGCAAGGATATTTATACCTAGGTACCCTTGCAGAAATTATTCCTGACTTGAAAATGCTTCTCAGGAATTCCTAAGATGTCCTAAGAATTCCTAAGATTTCCTCACAATCTGATTTGAGGAAATCCTAGGAGTAACAATCCTGGGATTTGATTTCAGGACATCCTAGGATCTCCCAGGACTTCTTTGTTAAACATTTCAAATCCAAATCTTGCCAGGACATTTCATTGTAAAGCCAGGAGTTAATCATTTTTAAGATAATCCCATTTCCTAAGACTTTTGACTTAATGTTGGGACTTTTGTAAAATAGACAAATTAAACTTTACAAACTTGTACATGTTAATATATGTTAAAACAGAATGACAGGAAATTTTATTACTTTTAAAGTTTTAATGTATAATATCAAGAAAATCATAAAATGAATAATTTTCAATCATTACATATTATACTTGATACATAGAAAGACACTGACCCTAGAACTATTTTTTAAATTAAATACTTTCTGAAATATTGATGCTGTCAGGGAGGAGTTATTCATGTATAAATATGTTTTAAAAAAAAATTGTTTACAGACAAACAATATTTCACCATTTTCAAATCACACATTTCTGAGTTGATTTTTATCCATTAGAATTAAATTCTACACTTAATCTTTAGATTGCTTCGTTCATGGGAAACTGAGTGCAAGCATAGTTTTTTTTTTCGAAAGCACTGGTCATACAAACTTGGCCATCTTGCAATACAACATCAAGTATTAATACAACAGAAGGATGGAGTGGTAAATTTTCTTCATCTGTCAATTTAATTTTTCACTTCGCATTTCATTTCGACAAAATAAAACATATTTTCCTCAGAGCACGTTATAAGAAATGGCTCTCCTATACCGTCATCACCTGCATACACGTTATATATCTCTCAGGTGGTTACCAAACTATCAGCTTCAAAGTCACATGCCTGGCTAGAAGTATCTTTTTTTTGTATCTTCTTCTTTATCAGTGTCATTTGGTTCATCAAACTGTCTTTGACTTTACTATCTTTAACATCTTCATCCAAATCTGTATGATTTCGCTGTATATTCACCCATAACTGCCAGAGAGACTATACAAAAGAAAAGTAATTATTGAGTCATTGAAAGAAGAGTACACTACACAAATTTAAGTACTACATAAACAGCATATTCAAGAAGCATGACTTGGTCTGTGACATCATACTTTCGTCACTTTCTGACTTAAAAAGCTTGGTATTTCAAATATTGTTGGGTTAGAATCGTGTTGTATTGTCAGAGTTTGAGAATATAATTCCTCATGTTTTTGATATTGAGTATTGCTTTTATTTAACGAGGAAAATCTAAAAAAAAACGCAGTAAAACTTATAGAGTTTCCTGAAAATTTTATCCACATAAACAAAGATCAAAAAAAACTTTTCAAAGGTTTTGACCAAATTCGAGTCGTAACATAACTATTAAATACGATAAAAATGCGCTTTCCCTATAGTTTTATAGCCAGATATACTAATTTTCATTCATCACTTAGCAATAAGATACTTACAGACATCGTGACAGGCTTGTAGATACGAAGAAAAGTCGTTGTTTACAGCACATGTGACAACTTCACGATCCGCCATATTTGTGTTTGGACGGTTTCCATGCAAATTGTTCTTGGCCTAAATGTATCATTGTGGTTTCTTCTGTAACACTTTCTGTGAGTAGAATTGGTTGATCAAGGATATTTATTTTTTATTTTTCTAATATGCAGGTCGTTTGTCACTGAAAATAACTTACGTGTTTTTTTAAACAAGATTCTCGGGAAAATGTCGGGATATTTCTTAAAGGTGTACAAAATACCCCTACACCGTGTCTGCGCGCGAACTTCCGAGAGGTGGTAAAAAAAGTGATCTTCGATCAATTGGTACCCGGTGTATAAAATATATTTTACTGTACACTCAGCTTTGAATATTAATTTATCAGAAAATATTCGCTAAAATATATTTTCTTTTTGTAAAAAAAAAAAACGTAAATTCACATTAATCACAAATTATTTTCAAGAATAAACAAACCGCATTTTCTTGGTGTGGCACGAAATAACTTTACACCGTCCTGTATCATCCTCTCGCGAGACTTCATCGAGAAGCGCAAAATAGGAGTTCAAGGAGCGGCAATGTTTAGAGAGACTGGTTAAGTGTAATGAAATGCACAACTTACGTCCAAGATTGACTCTAATATTCTTCACATAAACCATGTTCTCTTTCCCAAAAATCTTGGTTTCGCTAGGAGTGCAGTAAAGGGAACGTTGGAAGAAGTGTAGATATCATGGCCACAGGCCAGTGGGGTAAGTGGCAAGTGGTTCCTTGTAATATGTATTTTAACACACAAATATTGTTTAATAATTTAGTGCATGTGATGTGTTGTATAATATTTCAATATTGAAACAGAAGAAACGATTTGAATATGTGTAAAAGGTTTTTGGGCATACTGTGATTCAGTCTAGTCCATGAAGATCAAACGTACATTATTTTTTTTTTTAACACAGTGAAATATTTCCAGGTTTTACATGTTAAAATTTAGTAAGCAGAAGACTTATAAACAAATATTTATTATCAGTTACTGTTAAATTTGCATTGAATGTTTTGACATGGTGTAAATTTTGGAATTATACTGTTAAATAAAGCCTTCATTGCATTGTTATCTTCTAGCCAGAACCTTGAAGCCTGGCAAGGATTATGAGACTGGAAACTCCCATTGAGACTACCAAATGAAGAGAAAGTTTCAGGTATCTTGTAATTTAAAAAAAAAAATTTTTTTTCTAAACTTGAAAGAATATACAGATTTCACATTCCTAAGAGTTATCTCCGGTTGTCGGCGTAACACTCATTTCTCCCACTTTGTCCTTTGTAAGTTACCTGGAAATATTTTTATTTTCAGACATTTATATCTAACAATATCGGTCTGTAACTGTATTGCCAGAATATGGGGCAACTTTAAAAACGTAATGAACAAATTCATACATACTATATTTCTGAGATATTGGACGTATACATAAAGTTGGTAAGGTAATAGAGGGGAAACAGTGTCTTACGCCGGTTGACCCTGGATTGACCTCGCAAAGGGGAATAACTTTTGTAAATGTGAAAGTCATCTATGAAAGTTTATGGTACATTTCAATCTCTGTAACTTGTATTAAGTTGGGAAAACTGACACAGATATCGTAGAACTCATAAGATAATATTCGCAAAATTTAGAACAGAAAAATGAAAAAATCAGCAAGAAATATCAATGACAGCCATCATTAAAATTAATTTCAGCTAGATTACAAAAGAACAAATATTATATACACGTCTTATAAAAAATTTTATTGATAACTTTGCAGACTGTTTAACTCGGACTAAGGGAAAAGAAGCAAATTACAACAAGGAGAATATTGCCGAGAAAGGTAAGCTGTTCAAATAATGTTAATGTATGATTTTAATGTTCTGTTCACACGGAGAGTTTAATTCACAGTATTTTAATGCCAAGTAAATTGACTTTATACGACAGCTGTGGTAAACTGGAAAGTGGTTAACTATTGCGAATTAAAATTTTATTTTCTACAAAAAGGCTATTCAGTAAGATTATTATGACATCATTTGTAAATCATGTCATGTATGCAATTGATTAACATACCTTATTCCTTATGCAAGTGTGAATAAAATAAATCTTTTGAGAAAAATGGTTCATCTTACTTGGGCAAATTTAACACATATTTTTCTGGACTGGTAGAATCTGAAAGCTTGATACATGTAGCATCTTTGGCTACTAAATTTTACAAGTTTGATTTTCATGCCTTAGAAATAATTACATACGAGGGCCGTTCAAAAATTACGCGGACTGTGCTATTATTTACTCTTACAGACGTCATATAGTTATAAATTTTCACAGAAATATGTATCTTAAAGATTCCAATAAATTTTGGGCAAATTTTCTGTATTTTAAAAAAATTCTACTAAAATTATCGGTATGTTGATATCGTTGATGGAGAGGTACGGCGCACGACAAAAAAATTGAAGCAAAAGCATGCGGATTCAAAAATTTAACTCACTGATTTTCTAAAATTCGCGATATTTTTCACCAATTTTCTCAAATGTACCTTTAACTTGTTCTATTATTATGTATTTAGATTTCGGACGTAATATTTGAAGTACTAATAGAAATATAGTGATTTTTCTCTGATGCAATTCCCGTGAAAACGACTGTGATAATGACGTCTCCTGAATTGACGGCGCACCACACTTTTATTAAAATATGTGTAATGCTCGAGATATCGGCAACATAGATCCAAAATATGCATAATAAAACATGTAGTAAACTAGGCTACTCGTGACATTCGCCCACAAATAGCAAATTGAAATTTTAGACAGTTAGACCTCTGTAAAAAGGCTATACGGGAGGACGGGAAGAAGATTATAGACGAAAAGTTAACTTTATCCGGACTGTAAAGAACGTGATTGAGAGTCACCAATATCACACTATATCTAATAAGTAGTTTTTGGTTTTAAAACAAAAAAAGAATATTCTTTACTTGTTTAATAGATATTAAGCTTGACAAGAAATGGTGTTTTGATGTTGAGTAGATAACTTAAAGGTAACTCAAACTATACAGGTACTCAAGGGAAAATGTTGAGAAAATGAAAGCTCAATCACATATTTTTTATAATGCTTGTGACGTCGAAGATTTTGCTGCGCCGTGACTTAATGGTATGTTCTGCAAAATCACTCAAAATTAATACCATTTTAAAACATTTTGATATGAAATTTTGAAGACCATATAAGTAAAGATTCTTTTATATTATTTGTGAAATTTTGCCCAATTATGTCGTCAAATATTTCTTCTGTGCAACAAGTCCGCGTAATTTTTGAACGGCCCTCGTATTTAGACTAAACAATGGAATACATTAAGTAAAATTTTATTTTAGCAAAGACAAGTGAAAAGTTGAGTGAAGAAAAAGCAAACAAGGCTTCACGATCTGCAACTAGGCCACTGGCGATGAAGAAGAAAAATGTACATCTAAAGAAGATACATCAGTGATCAACTAAAGCTGAGCGACTTATATTGGATTGACGAGGTGCAGGGGGGATATTAATTTGGGTCTGTTTATCTTTCTGTTTGTCAATCTGTCTGTCTGTAACACTTCGTTCTCTTAACATTTCCAAAAAGCCATCAGATATTGCAATGACATTTTATATTATAACTCATTTTGACGATCCCACTGCAGAACATGATTAATCATCAATACAAATTTAATATTGTTTATAAATTAAATATTACCCATATATATTTTGAAATGAAATGGTCAGAGGTCAAGGCCTCTTTCGGGGGCACATATTGTTTTTGCCTGTCTGTTTATCTGTCTATTGCCAATTTACCTTTTGCCATAACTTTTGAATTATGAGAGATATAGATACTTCATATTGGGTATAATTATGCTTACTCCACTTTCAAATGAGACCCAAGACCAATGACCTTGACTGTCATCGTTATGCTAAAATAAAGCCTTATTGAATCTTTTACTTTTGAACCATAAGAGGTAGATATTTTATATTGAGTATCCATACTCCACTAATTAAGTTCTTTCAAATTACATCAAGGTTAATGACCTTGTGACTTTGACCTATATGTTTTTGTTTTTGTTATATGTTTTTTCTTTTTCAAACTTTGTTGCCACCAGGTGCATACTGTTTTTGTTTTTTTTTTATTGGGGGGGGGGGGGGGGGGGGGGGGGGGGGGGGGGGGGGGGGGGGGGGGGGGGGGGGGGGGGGGGGGGGGGGGGGGGGGAGTGTTATGAATTAGTTCTGTTTGGTATCTGAATCTTTTATTGTACAGAAGTGACGAACCCTGAGGGACTCACCCCTACTCTCTACACTAGGTTGTTGATTTAAATATTTTTTTATTATTATTAATATTTGACATTGTACATGTATATCATAAATATTCTAAGAGAGCTGCTTCAGAATGTATCAACATAGTTTGAAAATAAGACAATCTGTTTCCCCCTTGTGTGTAAATCATGATGTTGAATCATAACTGCACTATAATGTTACAGCAGTAAAATTGTAAAGAATTTGTTGTATCAGATACCATCAGCATTCTTTAAAAATTATTTTATGTATTATTTTTTCTGTGTGGCCATGAATTTTTATAATGCATACATTCATTAAATTTTTTTCAGAGATCTTATAATTCTGCTTTGTTGCTATGTATGATTTTAAAAAAAAAAAAAGATGTCCTAGGAGGCTAGGATATCCTAGGAAATCCTAGGAATTCCTGATTTCCTAGGACATTTTAAGTGTTGGGATTTTCCTGGGATATCCTGGGAAGTCTTGGTGTTTTGATTCCTTGGGATTTTTCTAGAACCCCTGAATTGGGACTGTCCAAGGAAATCCCAGGAATTCCTGTTCCAAAAACATCTCAGGAAATCTTAGGAATAATCCTAGGATTTTTTCAAGATATCCGAGGAATAAATCTTAAGATTGTCTTAGGATTTCTTAGGACATCTCAGGAATATTCTGCAAGGGTGGTCCCTGTGAATGAATAGCTCCTGTGAAAAAGTGTCATGTTATTTTAGCATTTCATTGAAACATTGAGCCAATTAAAGACGTTTTTGACAACATTACATGGCATATCATGGCAGCATACAGCTTATTTAGCATACGAATATCCATTTAACAGAGTGGAGTATTTAGGATGAAATGAAAATGTGCCAAATATCCTGCAAGTCTTATATATTTAAGGATGTACAAAGATTTTAATTGGTGTCAAAATTCTGCAAGTCAGTACTTCAAAGAGATAGGCAGAGGTTAAACTCCTTTGAGTCAAATTTTTTTAAAGGTAACTATATCAACTTACAACATTCTTAAGTCAAACGAGAGGGGAAAATCGGCTGTGTTTTCCCAAGCTTCTGAGAAACCTTGATTTTCATGTTTATGACTCTACTAATTGAAAGTTAGCGAAGTTAAAATAGCAAGATAAATGCAAGAAAAAGCTGAATAAAAAGGAAACCTTTGTATTTTATTGTTTAACCCATCAGTATACATATCCCCGGGACAAACTCAGTAAAACGTTTTGATGGAATGATAGATTTACTAACGTGCAACACTCGGCAAATTACGATCAATCCAATCTACTCTTATCATTACCATATAAGGTAACAAACCAAATGTGTACAATTTTCCTGAAATCCAACAATATATTTTTTTTTAATCATCACTGAGAGGATGACAGATTTTGTAACTTAAAATATCATATCACAAAAAAAGGGAAATTAATTATTATGATTATATGGCATTAAATCAGATCAAACGAATTTGAAATCAGCTATGATTATAGTTCCTTGTTGATTAAATTTCTATAAACATTTCACTCAAGTATAACTCTTTATCTATTTATAAGTAGATTTCCCTTTAGTTATTTTAGCATATAAACAGTCAAACTGTTTGATGGACCTCTAAAAATGATTTAGAAGCTCAGCAATGCAAATTCTTCCTTAACTTATTTTTGTGATTTATCTGTGCTAGCTTTGTTTTGTTGATGTATATATACATGTATGTGGAAGGGGAGGTTGGGTTGGGTTGGGAGGGGGGGGGTGTGTGTGGTTATGCATCATAAAGCTGCCCCCCCCCCCCAGCTCCACCCTACCCTGTGCCAAAACCTTTCACATCTGGCCACCTGATTTCAGTAGAGTAGAGTAAATCAATGAATAAATGTTAAATGTCAGAATGCATATCCCTCTTCCCGCCCCTGATCTTGCATAATTAATCAAATATCAGCTCTCTCTCTCTTTCTCTCCTATCCTGCTGCTAAACAATTCAACTATATGTGTCCAATTAGCTATCATATTGTTTTCAACATTACAGGATATTCTCACAGGTTTATCTGATCAGCTGAAATTCTTCAGGTTTTCTCCCGCTAGGGGGTAAATCTTGTTATATGCAGGACTAGGTCAACTGGTGAAGTCCCCACCCACAGTGACCCACCTCACCATGTGGTCAAATTTAACACCAGAAGCATCCTGGAATTATCTCACCTCCCACTGAGGTTCCTACTGGTCAGGCATGAAAATCCAAACAAATGTTTACAGGAATGTGCATGGTCAATAGGGTCATATCAGCTAAATGTGTTCAATGAGTGCCCATTTGATTGTGTGACCAAGAGGATATAAGGCATGTGTCTGCTAATTAATAGGCTACTGGGCAATAAACAAGCTATGACCTACTTAAACTCTAGCTGTCACCTGTAGGTATATTATACATGTGTTATATAATAAGTGAAAAATGGACTGCTGAAATCTTGATAGGGATCAATGTTATCAGAGTTTTCTCTATTGATGGGGGTTGCAAAACATAAGTTATCCTTCATTCTTGAGTAACCAAGACCCCTCCCCTCTTCTATCATTCATAAGTGCAAACAAAAGAAAGCTATTTGAATTTTTTGAGAGGGCAACGCCCACTTCTTTACTTTTGACACTTTTAATTTTCTGATAATAATATTTATGGCAATTAATAATTCAGAAATAAGAAACTTGGGTTTGGATTAGAGAAGTATGTTTTAGCCATTCAGGTATTTGTCAAGGATTTAGAATGCCCACGACAGGTAAACAGTTGACAAAGCCAGTTTTACAGGTGTGTATAATCAACAGCTGAACAGGTGTGGATCTGTGTATTGGACTGGCAATCGCCATGTTTGTTTACGTTTTTATTTTCCCGGGTTCGTATTCACACGTGCTAGTGACAATGTACAGACATGGAAAGTTTTGCCTTCTGAAAAACCTCCAAGTATTCGAAATAAAGACCTTTAGTTAGAAATATAAAACACCTTCCATTTTGCACCTGAAAACACATGTCGTCATGAAAGTACACACCTTTCGCTTTCACTTTGACCATCCACCGGCAAATATCCTTCTGAACTCGTTTTTTTCCTTCAAAAGTGCATAAAATGACAAAAAAATGTACTTACCTATGTTGACAATTCGGATTCCCTCATCTCTCTCCAAAAACTCCAGCACCATGGTAACATTTTCCAATTTTTGGGTTCTGAAATTAGGCCGCTTGTTGACATGCTTGAACTTTTTGCCTGATAAAACCTCCACTAAAGCAATAAGTCGTAATCCATCGGAAAGATCCGATTCTAAGTTGTTAATATTTTTGTTGACAGTTTTCAGGTGTTCGTTTGCCCACCTGGTAAAGGTGTTCTTCTGAATTAACTTCCATTGCGCGTCGTCCGCTAAATCGCGTTCAGTCAGCGGCATCTCTTCGTCCTCCTCGTCGCCGAGTAAATGTGACTCGCTATCGGCCATGGTGTCGCTTTTATACTAGCCTGTCACGGTCGAGTGGTTTTTAACGTACTAAGAGTTTATGAATCAGTTCAATTGAATTTGTGAATGTATATTTTAGTTTTTACGTGTAGGCACGAAAGCTTGTATTCCAAACTAGTTGACCCTGTAAATAAATAAAAATAAAACAATAAGTATTTTGTATAAATGTCAAGATATATGAAATAGCGCGAGAGAGTTTGGTAACATAATCATTTTCACAACATATTTTAATTCAATGAGACATATATTTGTAATTTCACGTGAATTAAAAATATTTAATTCATATTTTTACAGAAAGAACTCATTCAGGTGGTTTACGCTTAGAGTTGACTAGAATTTTTAAAATGAGAATTTTACAAACTTTGACAATTAAATCAAACCGTTTATTAGACTCAGTAGGATTAAGAGTGTATCGCTTAATTAAAATAAAATTGAAGAAAACGTAGAATTCAATTTGAAACAGAAAGATTATATATAAAGTACATTGTAATGATGAAAGGATTGAATCTCTAATCATCTCTATCGTATACATTGTATATATTTTGCAAAATCACCCCCACCCCACCCCCACCCCCCATCCAAAATAACAGTCCTTGAAGTCAACTGATTTTTTTTTTTTTTTGAATTATCATATATTGTTATTATTGCCACTTATCGTTTTCAAATTCAGGTTGAAGCTCAAATAATTATTATTACTGCGCGAAGTTTCCAAAGTATTCATCATATTCTTGTTATTACTGACGTATCATAGCTAAAGCGAAGTTGGTGCATAGAGTGGGATAGTTAAAAAACAGTTTATAACATCTCATATGTTGTTCATTGTAGACAATCTATCATAGCCGTACAAACCAATAATTTTGCCGATTTATAGTATAATACAGAAAAAAAAACAAAACTATACATTATGGACACCCCCCCCCCTCCCCCCCTTCAATGATAATTTCTGATTTACTTTTTCGCATGTCAAGAAAACTTTGCTGGATTTTGCTCATCCAAACTGAAGAATGGTGCTTATTATGCCCCACTCCCCCACCCCAACCTGAAATGCCTGTAGCTTCCTAGAGGCCAGTCTAAGCAGTGCCATTTTACTCATAATTTAAACTTTTAAGTTTTACAGATACTGGCAAGAGAGTGCATCCCCTCACTTATCAGTTATGTCCAGATAACTTTTTTTTTAAATGTCAATGAATTGTATATATTGTGCAGCCCACTCTAAATAAAAAAGATTGAATCTGGCCCTCCCCTTAAAAAAACTGAATTTGCTTCCTATGTGCTCGTCTATGCATAAATAATTACATTAAAAAAACTAACTTTGAAAAAACGACATGGAAATAATTCAATGTAATTTTTTAACTTTATGGGGTCAGTATTTTGGGACTGTTATTTACTTCATATATTATATATGCATCATATGGATTAACTCTGTATTGATATAAATCAACTCAGCACCAGAACTGATTGTATTGCATGTATTTATTTTCGTGTACTGAATTGAAAGCACATGAAATCATGTATATATCTAAGATAATCTTATAACCTACTTCATGATTATATGTGACGTATCATTAACACTTAGCGCCATCTGTCTAAACAAAACCATATTTTCTTTGAAATTTAAGACTTATATCGTCTGCAAAAAACCCAGACAGAATCTGATTACATTAAGGTAGTACGAACAGTAGGACGTCATGTGACATTTTATTGCTCCTAGAAGTAATGCGCTCCAAGAACAGCAACTCTTTTTATACTGCCCAAATGGACCAAATGTAATGTATTCTATAAATTCGGATGTTTAATTCAACATCTTTATTTATTAATTTTAATAAATGTGGAAAATATTGTGAGTGTGTAGCTAATTCTCTAGTAATCGCCAAGGTGGAGAAATACACTAAAACGGGCAGTTATACTAGCACATACACCAAAAGTTAATTAACTTTACACTTGCATGTAGAATTTACATTTGGCATATCTTACTTTATGATACAATTCTTAAAATATTTAAAGACTTGAAGTTCTTGGAGATTAGTTTATCATTATCATCCTCTCATATACGGAAAAGAAATTGGAGGCATTTACATGCAGATTTAACCATAACATGCATAAGGGACGTCATTCATGACAACAAAACACAACGCGAGAGGAAAGGGAATTTTTTTCATGTGTAAATTAATTTTTTTTTAATTTTAAAATCTTCTAATAAAAAAATTATCAATTGATTGTTATAATAATTAGGAAAAAAACCTTTGGAACAATAGGTCTTTTTTACTGGCCAAGTTCTTACTATCTTAAGTATTACAAAAATTAACAACCTCCCCTCAAACACCTGCTAGACAAGTGGCAGCTACCACAAAATTTACCTACCAAGTAAATAAAAATAAAGATCGGCACATTAGGCAATTCCATTAACCACGTAATGATGAAAGAGTCATCGAAAAGTCTGCGCATCTGCCAACTAATAGTCGTATAGAATGCTGAAGAGAGTTTTAAATAATTACACAGAATTTTTATGCTTTACGCGTTTTTTTCGCTCTCATTAAAACTCGCTCCAAAATTTTCAAACGAAAGTCTTTGACAGAACAACTAGTTTAACATGTTCACTATTCACTACTATTCAAGTTCAGTTGTGGAGGAGATTTTCATTTGGAGGTGAGGGGGGTGGGAGTGTAACAAGCAAAAAATCTTTTATAAGCGCAGAGTTCTCAGATGTTATTATTGAAGGGACCAAAACTTAAAGTAGCTAAGTTCTTAAGATGTACTATTTATCAGCAAAATTAATTATAAGAGGGAATTCAAAGGGACACGCCCAATGCCCCTGGTTCCAACGATCATGTTCTTAAGAGTCCAAGCTGTATATCGGCAAAATATGTTAGTAGTTTATCCAGACATTTTCAAATTATCATTTAATTTGGTCGTTCCAATACAATGGCCAAAGATGAAAAAGTCTTTTGTTTGCCGAATTATTACAATAGGATATCATTTTCCGGGCAATGATTGCCAGCTATATGTGTCAAATCAGGAATATATTTGCAGCATTTTTTTTTTGGTCGTGTCATTAGTTACTTTTCCTTCCTTGATAACAAACACCTTAAGAAATCATCGCTCGCCGAACAAAAAATCCTCACAAGGCCAGGGTTTCCGTGTCCAATGTGATCGTGAAATCCTGGCCACATTGTAAGGATGTAAGTTAATTGTCCTGTATATATGTCCTCCCAAAGTCGGACAGTCAAGTTCAAAAGTGGACACACACTCATGTTTGAGGATGTAAACATTAAAGATGTTTCTCAACAAAATACACCTAAACAAGTACTAATACGTCCTATAATACCCGAAAAGCAATCCAGCGAATTTTTATAGAATTATGTTTTTTATATGATTCCTTGGGGGGGGGGGATGCGTTTTCATTAAAATATATGTACAGGTATTATCCTAAGAGTATCATAATCGAACAATAATGGAGAAAAACAAATGTTTGAAAGGTATTTCTTTGACTCTTTTATGCTCTGGGACTTTGGTTTTGGCAAAGGAGACACGGAAAACAATTTATACATTATAATATGGAGATAAACTACAGATTCTCGAAATGTCTGACTTACATGCGAAATTTGATTTTATTCGATAAATAATCAAAGTCTCGCATCTCGCGATGGTTTATCAGTGATGCGTGACAAATAAGGAATGGCGGATCTTTCTGCATGTGCTTCCTATATATCCGACATCACTGGATGTTTGTTATTTATCTTGTACGATTCATGTGTTGTCGACAAAGTCTGTCAGTTTTGACTAACTGAGAAAAGCTTGGCAACTTAGCAAGGTGCATAACTCCGCCCGACGACGATTCGCCAAAGACGGTTGTAGAATTTCCAAGAAAGTGTCGCTTCAGCATTTCTGTCAAAACCTCCGCACATTTCCGCCATGTAACACAGTTTTACGTAAATTTATCAGAAAAAAATTGGGTATCTGATCTTGGGATCGTTTGTTAATTACTACGCAACTTTGTTAATTAACACAATATTGTTTTATAACTCTACTTAAAAATTTTAACTAAACATGCAATGTCCAACATAATTGAACATAGGTTCTGATACATGACTTGTCAAGACAGGTCAACGTCCAAAAGTGTTAAAACAATGCAAGTACATGACTTTCCCATCTGTTTACAACTCACATGTACATGTCTTAAATCCTAACGTGACCACGACATACGACAAATTCCAATGGTTACAGATGACTTTTCTAGTATCCAACCTCTCTAAACACTTCAAAACATCATTACTTACAGCTAGAAGGTTAGCCGGTACAATGAAATTTTGATTAAAATATGAAACAACCGTTACGAAAAACGTGTTCCAAAACAATTAAAATCTTCAAGAAATTAGAAATGGTAAAACAAGCTTACAGAAAATGTTTCCTGGTCTGGTAGCAGCCAAAGAAAATCCCAAGTGAACCAAAACCTCAAGTCAAAACAGATCTAGTCTAAAGGTTCCCAGCAAAAGAAGGAACTACTTGTGTTTCGCGAAAACTTTTTTTTCTCACTTGTGCCAAACTAGATCGGGTTTATAAATACACCGAGACAGATGCTAAGGATGAACCTGGAGGTGTTCCTAAGAAGCCTCGTTTGATTTTGATGATAAACTCGCGAATCTTCTTCTGCAACCCGGTGTTTCCATATTTGGGGGATGCTCGTAAGATGAGACGCTTGATGCGTGTAGTATAGAAAATTACGTAGGAACCGAATTGTTCGGGTGCCCTCGCTCGTTTTCTTGTGTTATTTATCAAAACCTATTGGGTTTGAGAAAGATATTTTTAAGAGAGTGTGTAATGTGTATTTACTACAGAGTAAGATGAATGCAGCGGTAAGGTATGCAAGAATCATTGTGGTCAGTGCATTCTGTACAGTCATTAATGATAAGTACCGAATGTTTGCGCGATAGTATCATTCGGGATTGGATATTAATCAGATATACAAGGATTAGAACACAAGCAAATACAAATCGGAACTTCTTGAAACCCAAGAGATCTTTATGGGGATACGGAGCCATCTGTTCTCAGCCGCCACCCCCCGGCGCGCGTGCGCTACCGCGCCTTGCGCGAGACTGGGATTTGTTATCGTCAAATGACGATGAGGCTGATGATTTTATTAACGAACATGATAAGAAACAGATGACCTAGTCAACCGTCTACAGATGTTTTAAAACAATCTGGTTTGTTGTCAATGGTTGAAAAGAAAAGTTACCGTCTGGAAAGGGGTTAACCAAGCATTCGAGACATAAAATTACTTATATTAGACATCTGCTGAAGCCTGAACCATTCACTGGTTCTGCTATCCAACGCTTATTCTGTCAAGATTTCAACACTAACAAATTGTAATTAAACCAAAATGAAGAAATACATCCCTTCAGGGGCACTACTAAGAACTATAATAGTATTCTACAGATCGGCAGAATTACTGGTGGGCACGACCATGCACCCCCACCCCCGGTCCCTGGTAATCGTGTTTTTACAAAGTTTATACCCGGGCTTTTGACATTTTGACAAGTCTGGCCCAAAATTACAACAATTACGAGACTGAAGTTATAAGAACCCAGCATTACGCGAGGGATATAGAGAATGAATCACAGGGGAGGCGACCTCTAAGATATTGGAGTTTTCTCCCTTTGCTTGTTACGTTGGCCAGACGGAGTTTTATTTGGTGTGACATCTATGTTTAACGTTGGTACACAATGTCACTTCAAAACGTTATATAACCGTCAACTTTAAAGTATATTCTGTCTTTTATTGTTGTTTCTTCTGGCCAATGCTCTAAGAATTAGGTCATGCCACTGTACAGAACTCTAAAGTGGTAGGTCTATAGAATGTACCCACCGTCATTTTGAACCAATGCGTATATTTGTGACATATATTAAGCACACAGGTCAAAATATCCTTTCAAATACTATGCAAAAATTATCAAGTCGGTAAAAAAATTTCAAAATGGCAAACCTATGTCAGACTTGAAAATTCATCTCTTTCGTAAAGCACTATACTTTGAAAATTTTTCTAAAAATTTCGACATGGAACGAACTTTCTTAACACATGACTTAAAGCACTTTATATTCTTCAATTTTCTCAGTAAATGTCCGACAAAAAACCTTAAAAGAGGAGATAAATGTTTTTATTCTGTTGGAATTAAATTTAATAAAAAATAAACAAAATTAACTTTCCCCCAGTCAAAAGAAAGTGAATATAACATTCTTTGTCCATTTTTAAATTAATTTCAATACCTCACCTGTTTTACTCAAGCCACATGAAGCACTTACACTTTTTAATTAGTTAGAATGCATGTAAACAGTCCTTATGTATATATATATGGATAGACGGTATAGTTTAAACATGACGCGTGACACCCGCTTTCTTCACCCCACCCTGCTGAAATCCACGAATTTTATAAAGATCTACATGTATACAAATAGAATTAAGAGGCAGGATGTATCAATTTATCGTCGTTAAATTTAATTTGATTTATATTTATTATTCAAATTTATATCTATTCATACGGAATTCGTCTTCGAATAAGTTCCTGAGTTTTGTATTTATTTATAAATGGAATGTCTTTAATTAATTGTACTTCCTAAGCTTAAGATATATGTTAAGTTCTACATAAACTGTATGACATACATACACACTCACTCCACTCGAAGGGAAAAAAGCCCCGCCCCTAATTCTAACCGTTACTATATTTATCTCCAGGGACCATGACGTACGTGAACAATATTGAATCTACAAAAAAAAAAAAAAAATGTCAAATTGACATGGAGTCAGGACCACCGTTTCTATAATTATTCTTTTTTTTAAATTTCTGTGCCAAACTTTAACTATGCCCTTTTACTATCCGGCTTTAACTATTTTGACCCAAAAGGTGATGATTTTAAGGTCAGACGAGACGTTCCTCAAAATCTGTTTTGTTTATCTTTGTAATGTATGAAAGATATTCAAAAATTTAATTACTTTCTGATTTCTAAACCAGTTTCTAAATGTCTTTAAAAAATTCAAACACTTAAACATTTGAAACTGGAAAATTATTTTTCTTCCCAAAAGGATTATATAAGAAAAGCTACCCCTGGTATCTTGCAGAAATGCCTGGTAAGGTACTTCAATTTTTTTGTGAGGAAACATGTTTAAGTAGCAATACTTCAATGACAAAATATTGGAAAATTTTATATATTACATGTATTAAGGAACGTTTCGTCTGTCCTTAACTACATGACTGAGAATTAAGAGAATAAAGTATTATGTGTTTGATTTCCTCTTTAGTCTATAAAATTTGCATTCTCAGCAAACAAAGGGGTTTTTGTGCGATGTTTGGTTGAAGAAAAGGTCGAAAATGTAAAAAGTTTAAGAGAAGGACAGACTGACGAAAGATAAACTTTGATCATGAACCTTTGGCTCGGTAAGCTAAAGATAAGCTACATGTTGTTTTTTATCAAGGATAGGTTTTTCTGACGATTGACATTGTACTTTATTTATTCTTATTAATTTTACGAATAAAACTTGAAAGTTTTCATATATATTTAAGAAGAAAACTAATTTTTATATATGTTTTCAAAATTTTCTAAAACCAGTTTATTAATTTACGATTCAAATAAATATAAGATTTTTTTTTTGTCGATGACAATATCAAACAATCGATGGTGTGGTACCTGTAAAATAAGGGATTCAAATTTTTACAAATCTTATAAAAGAGAGAAAACTTTCGGTGTTTTGAGGGAATTCATCCCCTATTATTCTGGATTGAAACCACAATGTAGTTTGAAAATCGCGTCAATGCATTTTAAACAAAACTATTAATTAAAAAAAAGAAGAAGAAAATGAATCATCTCACCGTATTATGCAACAGTGGCATAAAACATCAAATGCACAATAACTTCTGTGTGTCGTGAATGTCGTGCACAGTGCATGTTCGGTATCAACTAACCAATGAGGGGTCCCAGGCGGACCCTCGCTATTAGACAACACAAAATTCACAATGTCTCAGAAGCAGTTGTCTCATTCTCCATACAAAGGACACAGCCGAAGGAAGGAAAGCTAGAAAACTAGGAACCCTCTTTTGGCAATGCCCCCCTAAAAAAACTGGAATAACAAGCAGAAGTTGTGACCGAGTTTAAAAGTTTTGTGACAGACGGACAGCCGAATGAGATTTAAGTTCTCCTCGCTTTCGGAAAAGCGGGGGACAAAAAGAGGACGTGATGGGAGAGGAAACATCTCTTAGGACAAGGAGAGGAAACATCTCTTAGGACAACACGTTTCTAATGAATATTTTACCTTAGTTAAAATAAAAGTCAACATTTTAACGTAGGAAGAGTCTGCATGCACTCTAGATGGACATTGACCGATTTTCCTAATCAAAGATACCTACTTTTCTGCAGCAGAGTTTTGTTATACGTTGACCTCGTACTCATATACGATTCTAAATACATGCAGTTTTATGGTTTTTCGGTTACCTTGGTCAAGGATAGTTCAAAGATGAAACCCCGTCTTTTTATTAATTTAAAAAAAATAAAAAATACAGAACTTACCCGTTTTACTTCGTATTTGGCTTATAATTCCTCTTTTATTTTTATCATTTTCATAAATATGCATGACAAAAAATTAACACGGGTTATTTTTTTCATAAGTGAAGAAATAGTCATCGAGTCATTCCAGGAAGAAAAGCACTTCCATTAAAACAAATGTAACAGATGTAAATCTTGTACACATACAAAGGGAAAATATGATCAGAAACTGACTAATCCCATTCACCGGTGTGTTATCAAACGACTGGATAATGAAAAGAAGTGCCTGAAAAATATTTTTAATATTATCTTTCAATAAGTCATCTTTTACATTATCAGATCAGTATTTTTTTTATATGATATCAATATACTCTTTTTATATATTATAAGCACCATCCGCACTAATAGAGTTACATCTATAAATGAAATAACATGAGGGTCATGGGACACATCGCTCACCTCAGCAATGTGGTTGAGATTTGACTTATCTTGAATCTACACAACCTGACGATGTTCCCCATAAGATTCACATTTCCTGGCACAGTGGTTCTTGAGAAGATTTTAAAAACATGCCACGAAATTTTCACTATTTCTGAATTATCTCCCCTTGTATGAACGCATAGCCTTTCATTTGAACAAACTTGAATCCCGTACACCCAAGGCTTTGTGGCAAGTTTGGTTAAAATTGGGCCATGGCAGTGGTTCTTGAGAAGAAGTCGAAAATGTTTTAAGAATTTACAGATATGTCATGTTCTAAAATTTAGAACATGACAGATAGCTAGACAGCTACATTGGCGTCGGAAGCAAATTGAAAGTGAGGGGGGCTAAGTGTAAAAAAAAATTTTGTACCTTCAAAAAAACCTAACAAGCAAAAAAAAAAAAAAAAAAAAAAAAAAGGAAATATCCATTTCCCAAACACGAAAATCCTATTTCGTGGGGGGGGGGGGGGGGTAAGGTTCGAACTTCAGTACCAAAATTTTTTTCCAAACACCACCACTTTTCCCATTTTAAACCTATACTAAGA